TTCTCCATATGATTTTGCCGAAGTTGTTCCAATACATCATCATCTTTTGCCTTTCATCTATTGCTCGAGATTCTTTGGTTTTCGCCACTTTTATTTGTCGTCGCGTCTCCAGTTTCTCGACAACAGCAGGAACACTTTTATCCATGCCTTGATGCACTTCTGTAAAAACTTGCTGCGTATTATGTTGCAGAACTGCTGCAGTAACTCTAGCATTATAGGAACCTCGTTTTCCGCCAATTTCTTTGCAGATTATCGAATTAAACGCTTCTCAGCTGGATTATTGGTGTAATTTAACACCAAGCTGTGGGAATAAGCGCTCAAATATATAACAGCACTCTCTATTGGCGCATAAAGACCGTGCAATTTCAGATCAGGTACATAATTTTTTTGCTTCCTCATAGAGGAAGCTTTGTTTTCGTAAAAAAAAATTTTTTTTTGTTTGTTTTTCTGAATGTGTTCAGAATGTTCTAAAACGTCGAAAAATTGCAATTTTAAAAAAATGTCTGTATTATTGTGTGTGTGTGTGTGTGTGTGTGTATGTGCCAAATTTACCGAAATTTCTATAACTCCAGAACTAATTAACCAAATCTTAACAAATTATATATGAAATAGAGGTAGAAAAAACTGAAGAATATAATAGAATTAATAAAAAATGCTAATAATAAAGGGGTTACCAATTTCTGTTTAAAAAAGCAGCCAAATTTACCAAAATTTCTATAACTCAGAAACTGAATTTTAAAAAATTATATATAAAATAGGGGTAGAAAAAACTGAAGAATATAATAGAATTAATAAAAATTGCTAATAATGAAAGGGTTACCGATTTTTATCTAAAAAATCTATATGATTGCCCTAATTTTCGCAAATTTTGAGATATCGAGCTTAATTTTTTTTTATGGATAGAGTATCATTAAAGGTAGGTTGGTGTTGAATTTGGCAATGATTGGTGAAGGGGTTACCGATTTTTGCCTAAAAAGTGTACAAATTATACATGTAATCGTATATATAGAACGTATCATTAAAGGAAGGTTGTTTTGAATTTCGCGAAGATTGTGAAAGGGTTACCGATTTCTGCCTTAAAAATATATAGGGTAGACCGAGGCGAATCGGATTACTAATTAGCACAATAAAATAGCTCGTTTGAAAAAAAAACACTAACAAAAACTGTCTTTAAACTTATATTGATCCGATTCGCCTCGATCCGGTCTGTACCTTAAGTTATTTGATGGATAGAGTATCATTTTAAAGGAAGATTGTTAGTGAATTTGGCGAGGATCGGTGAAGGGATTACCGATTTCTGCATAAAAAGTGTATAAGATGCACATGTAATTTTATATAGAGTATTATTAAAAGAAAGTTGTTTTAAATTTTGCGAGAATCGGTGAGAGAGTTACCGATTTCTGTTTAAAAAATGTGTAACGATTTCTGCTTAAAAAATGTGTAAGTATCTTTAATGATACTCTATTCATAAAAAAAGTGTGCAAGTAGAAACTTGCACATTGCTTCCTCATAGTTTTTAAGTGTGCAAGTAGAAAATTACACATTGCTTTCTCATAGTTTTTAAATGTGCAAGTAGAAACTTGTACATTGCTTCCTCATAGTTTTTAAGTGTGCAAGTGGAAACTTGTACATTGTTTTCTCATAGTTTTTAAGTGTGCAAGTAGAAACTTGTTTAAGTGAGCAAGTAGAAACTTGCACATTTTTCCCAAATAGCACCGTACATCTTATGGACGTTTATTTTACTACCATACGTCCATGGACATAATAAGGTTGTCCATTGTACATCCATATAAGGATGTACATTGGACTAATAAAGAGGGACGTCCATTGGACATCCATTTGAGATCCCCTTTATATAACTAATTTATGAATATATACTGTACATCCATTGGACATTTGTATATGGACTTATTTTGGATTTATTATTATATCCATATTTTTTGTCACAAAAATGAGTTTTGTAAAGCATAGCGTTACTCTCCCGTCACGTAAAGCATTTTAACTTTTCCGTCGTCATGTCTATAATATGTTTATAATAGTATGCGTAGCAGTCTTTTTTTATGGCGTGATCATACGCGTGCAGATACCATGGCCCGGGCGTGTAATAATTAACGAGTCTTGCGCGGATTGGTCGAGCGCGATCACGTGACTTGATTTGGCAGGCTTGTGCAGGGATGAGCGCGCTCGTGCCTTACTCGTGTTACTCGTGTATCGTACCGGTTCACCCTTGGTCTATTGTCCATTTCTGGGCTACTCAGTTATAATTTCACCTGCATCACGTTGCTGCTCGCAGAGAGGCATGCAGGTATACTAGTCCGGGATCCAGCTGCCATTTTTTATGACCAAAATTAAGAAACCTAAGATTTTGCTGTATGGTTCATTTAGTATTGCTACTAAACGAAGTGAACGTCAGCTTGCGCATTTGCGGTGGGTGTTGCCGCGGCAGCCACCCACACACGTATAATTATAATAAAAAAAGAACAGACATAAAGAAAGCTAAGAATTTGTTTGTACGTTTATTATGATCTAAATAAACGGAAAATAGTAGTCAGCTGACTTCATGGTGGGGGGTTGTACGTCAGCTTCCCGCCCAAACATGCGAAAAATATGCGCTGAGTAAACTTATACGAAGAAAGCTGAAATTTGGGGAAGTGATAGTCGACTTTAACAGTTTCACGAAAATAATTGTCCGCTGAGCTTTTCGCGGTGGAAAAGTGCTCAGCTGACGACTGAAAGATACGGCGCATCGCTATGCGCGCGGGCGCGTGGCATCCTTTACTGCATCAGCTGAGCACTTTTCCACTGCGAAAACCTCAGCGGACAATTATTTTCGTGTAACTGTTACAGATAACTATAAGTTTACAAATTTCTTGGTTTCAGATAACTAGATTTTTATTAATGAAACAGTGCGTATATGCACGCGGGCGCGTTGCGCCTATCGCACTCAGTTGCTTATCTCTGACGCTCAATTATACCCTTAAATATGTATATATGACAATATAAACAGTAAATACGTATATATAATATTATAAATAATAAACATTTACACATGCAAATGCCAGAAGTAAATATTTATGAATACAGAGATGTATTTCCTCGTCTCGGCTACACGCTCATAAACACCGGAGTTTTATGATCGAATACAATTGTAGCCCAGCTGACTAAGAGGACCGTCGCTACAGGTATATCCGTAAACGGTTTATAGTTTGAAAGGCTTCCTTTTGCTCCCACCACAACGTCCCTGGGTCCGGCAGCGACTACCTGGGCAACGATGACATATTTCGTCTGCCAGCAAAAAATATAGACGGGTCAGCTCTACCGCCTTGCAAAATCGAACTGCACCAACATTTGCTTGGGACGACGTACATCGCTAATATTTGGGCCCATGCACATCTTGCTGTTCCAACTGAATTGCACCCGACTGATTACGGCTGGAGAGAAGAGGACAACAAATTTTTGTTCAAATGGTTCGACGGCGATCAGCTACCCCCTTCTCTTGGCGATATTACCATCGAGGAAGAAAAAAAAAGTACTGCAGGTCAGAATTATACTTCACTATTTCTTTATTCAAGTGTAATTTTTAGATTAGTTTTGTTTTTAATTTAAAAATACAATTTAGAAACAATTAAAACAATTTTTTATTATAATGTGAACACTTTTTATAAATAATATTCTAATTAATTTCAAAATTTTGCTCTTGCGTTATTATATTATTATATTATATATGTATTAAAATTATAAAACTAAAACTTTTTTATGCGATTATTTTTTATGTAATAATATATTACTTATTAGATTTGCTTACAGATGATGAGGATCGGACGCCGATGATCGATATAGATTACAGCGACCACGAAAGCGAGCAAGAGTTTGAGAACGATGATGAGGAAGACTGAAGAGTAAATGTCTCATACCTCATACGTATTTAAAAAAAAAAACGTAAATCAAAAATTATTTTTGTCAATAAATGCGTTAAATATAATTACATATTTGAATATAATCAATAGCATAATTTAGCGTGAGAGAGAAGCAGCTGATGCCGTGAGATAGGCGCAACGCGCCCGCGCGCATATACGCACCGTTTTATTAATAAAAATCAAGTTATCTGAAACCAAGAAAGCTAAAACTTTGTAAACTTATAGTTATCTGTAACAGTTACACGAAAATAATTGTCCACTGAGGTTTTCGCAGTGGAAAAGTGCTCAGCTGATGCAGTGAAGGATGCCACGCGCCCGCGCGCATAGCGATGCGCCGTATCTTTCAGTCGTCAGCTGAGCACTTTTCCACCGCGAAAAACTTAGCGGACAATTATTTTCGTGAAACTGTTAAAATTGACTATAACTTCCCCAAATTTCAGCTTTCTTAGTATAAGTTTAATCAGCGCATATTTTTCGCATGTTTGGGCGAGAAGCTGACGTACAACCCCCCACCATGAAGTCAGCTGACTATTATTTTCTGTTTATTTAGATCATAATAAACGTACAAACAAAGTCTCAGCTTTCTTTATGTCGGTTTATTTTTATTATAATTATACGTGTGTGGGTGGCTGCCGCGGCAACACCCACCGCTACCATGGAAGCTGACGTTCACTTCGTTTATTAGCAGACCGAATTGAACACTAGCCGAAAATCTCAGATTTCTTAAAATAATTCACTTAAAATGGCAGCTGGCTCCCGGACTATACGTACGTACGTACGTAGTGTCAATTGTCGCAGTGTAGAATATTAAGTGTGCGGGTACACGCGGTGTGCGATACGTCGAAGATTGATCCGGTTAGCGGTATCGCGGGTTGTCGAACGGATCAGGACAAACCTAGAGGTTGTGAGGGTACACAGATACGAAAAAAATGTAAGAATATGTATATTTATATATATGTATTTAATAAATACATAATTTTAGCAGATTTTTATTCTTATAACCTAAAAAGTTAATATTTTACTTTATATGACGATATTACATATTTTTCGTTATCAAGAAAATAGAAGCAGCGTATAATATTTATTTACTTATCGCAATAATAATTCGCAATTATAATTTTAAAAATAGTGTAGAATAACCAAGTGTGGTACACGCGGTGTATTTCGAAGAATTACGAACGACTCGTCGGAGATTGATCCGGTTAGCGGTGTCGCGGGTTGTCGAATGGATCGAAACAGACCTAAAGGTTGTGAGGATACACAGATACGAAAAAATGTAAGTATGTGTTGTACTTCGATATTGAAAATCTGCTTGAAAATATAATTGTATGTATGTTTATAAAATATATAAGCCTATTCTACAATGAGACAGAAGCAGCTATAAGCTATAAGTGACAAGGATTGAATTTTTGCCAATCTTTTATGACACCTGCGTTCCAACTTATGAATGCTTTATAATTGCTTATGACTTGCTTATATCTTCTGATTGCGCTGACTTCTGTCTCATTATGACAACTGCGTTCCAACTTATGAATGTTTTAAAACAGGCTTATGACTCGCTTATATCTTCTGATTGCTGACTTCTGTCTCATTGTAGAATACGCTATATACATTTTGCTACATCTAAAATTAATTTATATTTTTAGATGATATTTTTAATAAAATAAACTAACTTTTTAATGAACTAACAATATTCATTCATGTATAATACATATTTCAGATTTTCACATATTGTATGTATGTACATACAACCTGTTAATCATGAGTGCTTTCCAGCAACGACACAGTATGACACAGTATTATTTTATCTTTGCCGTTCACTGGTATTGAAAGACAATAGAATGATACTATGTCGCACTGTGTCATTGTTGGAAAGCAGCCCAATTTGACTTAGCGCATTGACTCAAAATGTAGAATATGCTTCATCTAAACTCATTCTTATTTTATATCTTTTTTAGAATAAATTAATACTTTTAAATCCTATAAATTAAAAACATTTTTTATTTTATATATCTCTGGAAGATCTGTTGCTTTGAAAAACCCATTGAGGAAGGTTACGCAACACCATTGGTACAGTTAATTTACAAGATCACACTTAAGGACTGTTGTATTGCCTTTAGGAAATTCTTGGAAAATAAGTGAGTATGCCTAAAATTGCTGCAACTAAATATTATAGGCAAAAGCTAGTACAGATTCTACGATAAATTTAGTTGAATCTGATCAAGCTTTTGCTCAATATTTAAATAATAATGATTTGAATAATAAAACGAATATTAATGAACAATTTAATTGCATTGATTTGGATAATAATTTTGATAATATTGAATTTTATAATAATATATTAGAAAGTTTAGAGAGTTCAGATAGTGATACATCTAATAATGATTTTATTATAGATTTTAATGAAAGCACTTTGAATAACGAATCATTTAATAACAAATCAATTAATAATTATGAAAATTCCAATAATACAACCAATAAATGTTCTCTACGATCACAACTTGCTACTTGGGCTTGGAAAAATAAAATTACTCATGTTGCAATTAACGAATTATTAGCTATTTTAAAATCAGAACATGATGAATTACCTTCGGATGCTCGCGTATTATTAAAAACTCCTAGAAAAAATACATTGAAGATTGTTGAACCAGGACATTATTATCATTTTGGTTTGAATAATTGTATTCATAAATTATGTTCATTTGTATCTTTAAAAAATTTGCAACAAATAGAAGTTTACATAAATATTGATGGTTTACCACTTTTTAAAAGTTCGAATCAGCAGTTGTGGCCAATACTATGTAGTTTAGTTGAAAATCGTAATAAAGTAGGTATTGTAGGTATATATCACGGGGAAAAAAGCCAGATGAAGCAAATTTATTTTTAAAAGATTTTATTGCCGAAGTTATCGATTTGTCAACACACGGTATCATAATAAATAAAGAGAACAAAAGTTTTAATTATTCCTTCAAAATTAAAGGTTTTATTTGCGATACACCTGCTAAGGCGTTTATTAAATTTACAAAAGGTCATACCGGTTATTATTCATGTACAAAATGTGTTATAGAAGGGGATTATATTAACGGCAGAGTTTGTTTTTCGAATTTAAATAAATTCCGTGATAAAACCGATTTAGAATTTAGATCAAAATCTCAAGAAGAACATCACAAGTTCAAAAACTTCTGATCTTGAATTAATCGAACATTTAGATATGATTCGTGATTTTCCTGTCGAGCCGATGTATTTAATTGATTTAGGCGTTACAAAAGCTGTAGTGAGTATGTGGTGTTTTGGTAAACCATCAGTAAAATTATCTCATGCACAAATTACACAAATTTCTGGTTTATTAATAAATCAAATTAAAAATATCCCTTTAGAATTTAATCGTACACCTAGATCATTAGAAGAAAGTAGAAGATGGAAAGCTACAGAATTTAGACAATTTTTATTGTACACAGATCCTGTTGTTTTAAAATCTGTACTTAATCGAGACAATTATCTCAATTTTATGTCTTTAAATGTAGCTGTCACTATTTTATCGTCTCTCCATCATGTTAGATATTTAGATTACGCTAATTCTCTTCTTAATTATTTTGTAAAAAGTTATATAATTTTGTATGGCAAAGATAATTGTTCAATTAATATTCATAACTTATTACATTTATGCGATGATGTAAAAAACTTTGGAATGTTACAAGAATACATACCTATCCCTTTGAAAATCATATGCAAAAGATAAAAGGATATATTAGAAAAAAAGATAAACTATTGCAACAAATAGTTAATCGTATATATGAAGAAAATTTTGCAGAATTAAGTGAAGAAAATAATTTGAATGTGAAACCCAAATTATTCAATAAACATGATAACGGACCTTTAAATCAATTTTTGTGTACTAGTCAATGGGAAAAAATTGTATTTTCTAATTTTACTCTAAAAATAAAAGATCCAAATAATTGTTGTAGTTTAAATAATGGTGACATTGTTTTAATTAAAAATATTGCTAGTAACGATAAAAATATAGTAATAATTGGAAATAAATATAATTCAAAAAAAGATTTTTATAATGAACCATGTAATTCTTCTGATTTGGGTATATATTTAGTTGATAACGTTGTTAACGATCTTCAAAGTTGGAATATAAGTGAAATATCGCATAAATGTATAAGATTACATTTTAAAGATAAATTTGTTATTTTTCCCTTACTTCATTCCGCGTCTAATTGAATTTTATAGATTTTAATAATTTTACTTTTCTATATAAAAAAATTTTAATTTAGGATTATTTAAATGTCATTTTACAATTTATTTTTATATTTTACAATTAAAATTAATAAAAATAGAAATGTATTTCTTAAATATTAAATTTATTAACTTCTCAGTATTTTTAAAAATGATGAATAATATTCCAAAGAATATTATTATAATATTCAATTGTTCTGAGAATATATATACCTAACAAATAAATTTTACGATAAGATAAAAAATTGAATTCCCTTCTGTTTGTTAACGGCTTGATTCCAAATATTTATATAATATTTAAAATGATCGATTTGAAGTTGCGTACACAAATTGTTAATAATTTGCAGGAAAAATGACAAAGACATGGACTATTCTGATTTTCACTGATGAAGATTGTGTTGAAGTAGTTCCATCAAGTTGGATACTAAATGACAAATGTTATTGGCCGACGCTTACACCTGACAAGTTGAAAGTTGCAGTAAAAAATCACGATGCACTTGATACTTCTTGGCCTTCATATCCTATTCGGCTTATACGAAATGGAACTTTTTGTAAATATATTACTTATTGTGTTCTTATGTATCAATTAACCAAAAATATATTTATTGCATTGTCGTCATGTTATATTTATTTTGTTTTAGATGATTATTCAACAGCAGAAAAAAAGTGTAAACGGGCGGAATATTCGTCCGATGTAAATTCTGACAGATTTAAACAGAATGAAACAGAATCTGACAGAAATAAAAGGGAAATAATAAAAAAAACGTTCGGCTCTTCATTTGATAAGGATAATCTATCATCATCAGACGATAATAATAAATTGCCGACTAAATTGCCGACTCCTCCACATTTAACGAATGGTTCGTATGCATGTATTTATTTGCTACATTATATAAATTTTGTTAAAATTTAATTATCTTATAAATGAAGAGACATAGTAGTATCTGGCGTTATTTTACTTTTTAAAATCTTTTTAAAATAAAAGTATAACGTAAATTTTTAGGGATAAAAGAAAACATTCGCGAATACTTTATAAATTCAAAAAACATTCAATCATTTAGTTCTTAACGTTTTCTTCCAGACACCAGTACTTTTATAAGTAAAAGAAAGCCGAAACAAAAGAGTCAAGCTACTATCTACTAATAACGATAGAATTCAAAATGAGAAATTTGAAAGAAATTTATCGATTGGTAAATTATTTTTTGTAATACTAGACACTACAGACGCGCGCGCTTCGCGCGCGCTATTTAGCTTTAACACTATGCTATTATATAATAATCGCGACACGACGCGGGACGATTAACCTCGCGACACGACGCGAGCTGTCACATCACGACACACACGACGCACTACACGCACGAAACTCGCCACACTCCGCGATGACAATCCCTCACGGGATGAAGCAAGCTACGGCGCGGCAATCAATCGAGATAACCAATCGGCATCGCGGAAAAGAGGCTTCAATTTTTCGATACAAACGAAATTCATTCAGGTAACACGCCTTTTTTAAAAGTGGACTAGACACTACAAAACAGACGCGCGCGCTTCGCGCGCGTTATTTAGCTTTAACATTATGCTATTATAAGTATAATAATCGCGACACGACGCGGGACGATTAACCTCGCGACACGACGCGAGCTGTCACATCATGACACACACGACGCACTACACGCACGAAACTCGCCACACTCCGCGATGACAGTCCCTCACGGGATGAAGCAAGCTACGCGGCGCGGCAATCAATCGAGATAGCCAATCGGCATCGCGGAAAAGAGGCTTCAATTTTACGATACAAACGAAATTCACTCAGGTAACACGCCTTTTTTAAAAGTAGAGATATATAATTATTAATCACAACTATTAAGCACCTTTACAAAATGCAAAAGCTTATAATGTATTTTTTGTAAATTTTGTAGGTAATAAATCTTTAGATGACAACGATAAACCATTGAATGTTAATGAACAAGAATGTAAATGTTGTCCTGTACATATAAAACACAACTGTGGTATGTATATGTTATTTGCAATTGCAAAATTTGCCCATTGCCCGAATTTTTAACCAATGCGATATGGATAAGTTTAAATGTCCACAACACGTTCTGGATATTTATTTTGACCACTGAGTGTTGGAAAACACAACGCGTTGTGGCCGAAATAAAGTACTCAAAACGCGTTACGGACATTTAAGTTATATATTGCATTGATTAAAAAATTCGGGCAATAGGCAAATTTTGCGATTGCGAGTAATATATATTTTATGTACAGTTATTTTCGATAGAATTATTATTAATCTTATTATAAAATTAAATTATTATTACATGTTCGACACGATTAATAAATATATTAAACCTTTTCCAGAAAATTATTTTAAAGAAATCATCCACCAACAAAATTTTTTCAAAGCCAGCATGTGGCAATATACAGATTCACTTCACGAATTAACCACATCGGTTAATCGTATTGTTACGAATAAGGTGACTCATGAAGTGGAGGAAGCAACAACTTCATTCTTCACAATGTTTAATTTTCCGTTACAAGACGAGGAAGACCTAATCCGCGTCGATGAACACCTAAACGACGAGAAAAATTTTAACGTTGCGGTAATATTTTATGAATGTGTTATTTTCACATATATATGTTACATATTTATTGCAGTTTTACAAATATACTTTATCAATTAATGAAATTTTAGTTGATTATTATTTTTATTTTGAATTTTACAGATGAATGAACTTGCAAAAATTGGTGGAAGTTCTGTACAAAATTTTACTCAAAGAGCTTTGCAAATGTTAATAACAAATGACCTTGCATCAACCTATAGCTGGTTGGGAAGGCGAGCCAAAAAAACTTTTAACAAATTAAAATTAGCGGATTTGATAATTGGTAAGTAGTTTTTTAGATTATCTTTTATTTACCGATTATCTTTTATTTAACGATTTTATTAAAATCATTCTTCCTTCGTAGATTATCAAATATACAATATACAATTACTATTTACAATTTTACTATTTACAATTATACTATTTACAATTTTCTAATTATTTTTTATCCTGTTTTTATATTATAGGTTCTGTCAAAAAAAGCATCCCAAATTCTACTAATAAAGAGTGCGAAGAAGCAATCCAAAAGTGGTTAAGAAGAGCCAAAGAACGTAGTAATAATAATAATAAGAAACGTGGAGAGAATAATAATGATGCAGAAACTGCGCGTGAAGGTTCAGATGCTGAAAATTAATTGGTCGAATCATTTATTAATAACTTACCTGAGAAACTCATCATCACTTTCATTTTTTATTATGGTTTATATTTTTTTTCGTTTATATTTTAGTTTATATATATGTATATATATATATATATATATATATATATCTACTAATAATTATGCATAAAAAAACAGGCTTCCTCATAGAGGAAGCAATGTGCAGGTTTCTTCTACTTACTTGCACACTTAAAAACTATAAGAAAGCAATGTACACACAAGTTTCCACTTGCACACTTAAAAACTATGAGGAAGCAATGTACAAGTTTCTACTTGCACATTTAAAAACTATGAGGAAGCAATGTGTAAGTTTCTACTTGCACACTTATAATTTAATATTATTGTAACATTTTTTATGGAACTTGTATATCACGAATTGTGTGAAATAAATTTTTAACTATGGATTCTTCAAGTCAAAGAGATGTTATATCTACACAGTCTGCTTGTTTGAAATTGCCACGATACGAACTTCGCGTTGTAGTCTTTGTGTATGCCAGAACGCGTTATGATCAGTTCTATCGCTCAGTGAGCGTTTTCGGTCTTTGCGCCTAACATATATACAAGTACGCGCAAGTACTTAGGGCTAATTGAAAGACTCTCGGATCTTACGTTTCTACAAATTATTATTATTTTTAATTATCCGAGATGTAAGTATTTATTTTTACGAGATTGCTAAATGTAGGCAAATTTGAAATTTTTACTTTAACAATAATTCGAACTTCAACATAGAAATGCAACGTAAACGTGAAAAATTATAATAAACTTATAGTAAATTTTAATTATTTTCATAAATTTATCATCTATTTATCTATCTATATATCTACATCTATATATATATATATATATATATGTATAATTCAATGTTACGGCTGACTCTTCAACGCCCAGCCCAAACCTCTAAATCTAGAAACATGAAATTCGAGGAGTATATTCCTTCCATGATGTAAGCATGGCCCACTAAGAAGGGATTTTTAGACATTTGACTCCTAACTGGATGAAAAGGGGTAAAATGTGTGTTACCGTAGCGAAGCACTTGTATCATGCTAGTATATATATATACAGGATGTATCCTTTTAAGTAATTCAGCTGAATATCTCTTAAAGTAAAAGAGATTGGAAAAATTGTTTCAGATTGTTTGGTTCAAAGGGGGACATAAGATGGTGTCATTGGTTTGACCGTAGATGGTCGTTTAAAGCTCACGTGAACGACAC